CAATTAACCAATCTTTAGGTTGATGGCTGGGGAGGGACAACAACATCAACATCAACAACAACAACAAAACAACAATATTTAAATAACAACAATATAATTATATAATAACAACTTGGAAGGTGCTAAATCATGCGCCCGCAGTTTCGGCTGCTGGTAAGTAGTTCTTACGAGGACCAGGAGGTCGCGCGCTTATAGCGCCCTAGGCGCCAGCCAAAAAGTGCTTTGACCGGACGGTGGTTTACGGTGTGGATTCGGTGTTTCTATCCTTACCCCCGGACGGAACTTGTAGCCATGTCGGAACACCAAAGACAGCTTGATGCAGCCATGTTTGAAAGTCCACGAAGATCAGATAGCCCTAAAAGAGCGAGATCCAACATAGGCGGGGCCTATAGTGATGAGGCACTGATTGACAGAGTTTTTGGTAGCAATGTCCCTGCAAAAGCGTTTGCTGAAGTGAAAGTGGTGGTGAAAAATTCGCTGCGGCCATTGGAAAATTGTCAGGAGCAGTTGTTAGAAAGGAGAAGGCTAACAAGGATTTGGAAGAGCTCACCGCTGCTCGCTACCCAGCATGGGTACGCCCATTTCTTCCTGGCACATATGTTGTCCTGCAATCTCCTTTGAATGCTGCTGGCGGCTTTGGGTAGGTAGAGGTTTGAAGTAGTGACTAAGTAGTGCTTCATCAAGTCATCACTAGGCAGGATGCTTTGGCTAAAGTACACCTTGCAGCTGCTACCTTCTACAAACATGTGGACATTGAGATTTTAGACGAATACGCCCAGGAGCTCAAAATCCAAACCGCCTATGATGCTTTTGTCGCGGAAGCGGAAGCATGTGCTCCAGCCAGCCGACACCATACAGCAGTGCAGTCTCTAGGGATTTCTCTGCCACCTGGCTTGGAAGCTCCCGTGCGAGTCTCTAAAGAAAAGGCCTTGGAGTTATACATGGGCGTTGTGAAGAAGCTTGCTGAGAACAAGATCCAGAAGGAGGCAGAGGATGAGAGAATGAGGTCACAAAAACAGGGTCTTAAGGAAGCAGTGGAAAACGCTAACCCAAGAGACCTGTTTGACCAAGCAGTCCGACAAGTACTTCGCTTCGAGACACCACATCGGCATTATCCAGTTCACATGTTGCCTACGTGCTTGCCTACCTGGGCGTGCCTGCAGCTGAGTGCTTAAAAGGAAAAGGCAAAGGCAATGGAAATGGCAAGGGCCAAGAAACCGACTGAGGAAAGTTAGAACCAGCCCCAACCAACAGCCACAGCCAAAAAACGAAGTGTCCCGGGGCGCAGGCCCTGGGGACAACAGCAGCCAAGTGCACAATAAGGGAAGAGCAAAGGCAAGGGCAAAAATCACACAGGTGGAAAAGGGAAAAGTGGGAAAGGTTCCAACAGTGGAAAAGGAACCACAGGAAAGCGGAAAGGAAAGAGTCCTGGCCGGACATGGTAGTGAGGCATTTTCGATTCCTGATGAGAGGCGCATCACTGCAAGATTGGCTTGGGCTTTTCAGATACCAAGACTTTGCCAAGCAAGTTTATGTCTTGGACCAGAAGTGCATGACAGTTTTTCACCCTTTTGCCCCCTTTGAGGTGCCCAGTTGCTTTAGAGCTAGAACTCTCCCTTGGCATGTTGTTATGCTGCTTGGGAAGTATCACCGGAAGCACATTGTCCATGGAAAGCAACTCCCTCGAGTTCAAACCGCCATGAGAAGTGAGTGATTTTTTGGCACGGCTGAAGTGGCAATGGCTGAGGAGGAGATTCGGGTCGAGTTCTGAATGTGAAAGGTCTCGTTGTCAACAACAACCCCCTCCTACGTGGCAACTGCTGCCAGAACTTCAGGTGTGGTCGAACAAGTTTGCCCGCACAGTAGAGCGCACTTTGAAGCGCGCAAGAGCACTTGCTGGCCGTTCATGCAATTTGGGTGCCAACACCGTCCCTGTCAAAATTGAGGCACCCCGCTGGATACAGCAATCTTTGTGGGTTCCACTTCCTACTGACGAGGATGGCGGGTACTGCCTTGTAGAAAAGGCATTGGTGCAAGAAGCCCAAGAAAGCATTTTGGCCAGATCGTGGTACGAACGGATACATGTGGAAATAGCTGTGTTGTACCAAGCAGCGTGCATTGCATATAGGAAGTTGGCAAACCAAATTGCGAGCACTACGGAATGCCTTGCCTTGTATTCGCAAATTTGCAAATCATTGATGGGGTGCCTGCGCAAGGATTTGCCTCGAAAACTTTCCCTCACCGTGAAGACCCACAAGCCACCGGGAGAAATTTCGCTCAGGAACCTTCATGTGGGAGGGCCGCAACCATTTGGTGGTCTCAGCGCTTGGCTCAACATACAATTGGACAAGGTGCTGAAAAGGTTGCCTCATGTGATGACCAGCACGCATGACCTGGCGAATAAGTTGCAGCAGGTGGAAATCGACTTTCCTATAGGGCTGGGGAGGATTGACGTGAAGGATTTCTTCATGAGTGGCACTTGCACTGACTTTGTCACATGTGCGGACTTATTGCCTCTGAAAGAAAGACAGAATGTGGTGGATGCAATCCAGTTTTTGTGCAACCATCAGTTTCTTGTTGCGGACGCAGTGCCGCATACGTTGTGGCAAGTGAAGACTGGCACAGGCGTGGGCTTGATACATTCAAGCCAACTGTGTGACTTGGCATACTACATGCATGCAGAGCACCAGCTGGTGGACACCACTGCGCTGGCTTTTTTTGGTGTAGCAAAGTGCTTGAGGTTCAGAGGTGACATACTGATTTTGTACAATGCCGAGAGCAACCAGCTTGCTAGATTTGCCCAGTTGCTGAAATGCAAAGCCCGGTATGTGCAAGTGCAAGTGGAGAGTTTCTCAGAAGAGACGGCGGTGGTGCTGGATCTTCATGTGCATGTTCGCAAGCACAAACAAGACAAGTGGTCCCTGGAATTCTTTCCGCATTTCAAGCCGACCAGCCTGCAAGTACCACCTAGTTGTAGTAGTTAACACAACCCTAATATTCATGTTGCATGGCCTTTTAACCAGCTCCGTAGACTTGCTAGCCTTTGCTCGAATGAGCGAAGGTGTCAAGAAGTCAAGAAAAAAGTGTAATTGAAAAGATTTCAAGACGCTAGGGAGCCTTTTTGTTTAGATAGTGCCCTCCACCAATATAACCCTTGGCCCGTCAACCAAGATGTACAGCGCAATGCTTTTTATCTTTCTAGGGATAGGAAGTGGTTGGTGTTGCCGCACCACCCAATTTGGAATAAGAGTGGGTTAAAGTCTGAAATCATGAAAATCGTGAATTCTGATTTGGCCCGCCGGTTGTGGGGTATTTGTTTTTCCCGTGACCCACCTGAAGTGGGAATCGCGTGGCGCAATGGAGGACCTCCGGGTAAATTTGTGTTTTGTGACACAGCCAATCTTTAGGTTGATGGCTGGGGAGGTGGGAGGACTAACAGCAACAGCAACAACAACAACAACAAAACAACAATATTTTAATAACAACAATATAATAACAACTTGGAAGGCGCTAAATCATGCGCCCGCAGTTTCGGCTGCTGGTAAGTAGTTCTTATACGAGGACCAGGAGGTCGCGCGCTTATAGCGCCCTAGGCGCCAGCCAAAAAGTGCTTTGACCGGAGGATGTTTTACGGTGTGGAAGTGCGTGTATCTAGGCTCATGTTACGCACAGACCCTGTGGTTTGCCCGCGGACTGACAGAATAGTGTAAAGACCAATGATGTTTTAACAGAATTGTGTTGACGAAGTTGAGCATTGCATTGCGGCTTGGCAAGAGGGCACTGTCGCTATCAGGGTTCATGTGGGGTGTACATGACATACAACATCCCCAACCCCAATGAACAATTAACCATACCGCAAGTCACTGTCATTGTCATCGCCATCTTCATCATCAGTGCCGGGCAAACCATAGGGTCTTGCCGTAGTGCTAGCAAAAACCACCCAACTGGAATGATGGTTAGTTTTAAATATACCACTAACATGGTAACATAATTACATACCATACCGTTTTTGTATTGGAATACAATGCCATATATCATGCTTGAATATTACAATAACCCATGATCTATCCCCCGTCTCCGTCTCGCAGAAAGGCCTGTGCTGGAGCAACACGGCTTCCCCTCCGACAAAAAGCACCAGATGGTTCTGCTGGATGATCCCAGCTGGGATGCCATGCGGCGGCCAACCCTGCAGAACATGCGCAAGGCGCTGGGGTTGGGAGGTGAACAAGAACGGGTACCCACTGGTTCTTTAAATATCGTTTTTTTTTAAGGTGGTGAACCAGCCAAAATGGAGGTTTCATGGTGTTTCAGAAAGGGGGTTACTCTCTAGCCAACTAACATAGCTATGGAAAATCACTCATTTTCGTGGGGTAGATCATGCATTTCCAATAGCTATGTAATAAACTACCTAATCCACATAAGTCCACCATTTCAATCCGTTTAAATCCACCAGGTGGTTCCATATCGCCAGCTGGCGCCAGGCCATTCGCTGGCTCACCTGTGATGCCAAGACAGGACGACCACATTTTGGTGACATCGATATATTTGTTGGGCATCTAAACGGCACCAGAAATAGAACAGGAATAAATTTCCATTTGTTTACTTTGATTCTTGTCTATTTATTCTATTTGCATGGTAGTTACTGCGGTATGTTACTTTTCCACATTGGGGGATACTACAGGTTGGGAGACGTGACACGTTCCCCTGATGATCCTAATGGTGAGCGAACATGATATTGTTTTTGGGGCCTTTGTGTTTTCAGATTCAGTTGCGTCCTGCCGTCCTGCTGCAGGTTGCTTTCAATCTTCGTGCACGGTAGGCGTTTCAAATGAGCAGCAGCAACACTGACAAATTACCTGAAGAAAAAACACAGTCTGTTCAGACCAGCCACTAGTGGGATCACTGGAGATGAAGTGAAACACATGTAACTTGCTCACTCTATTTACCAATCTGGTTTGATCCTATACGCCAGTCGTTCCACCAGTCCTCAAGCCGCCGCCATGGGGCGGTTGAGCGAAGTGTCGGCGAGTTTGCTGGGTCCTGGTGACATCAGTTACAGCTCGCAGCTCGTTTGTGGAACGGGGCAGCGTTGGTGGAGCCACGCTCTTGGGAAAGGTGTTCGGTGTTGGGTGGTCAGTGCTGAAATCTGAAGATGTTTCAAAATGGTGCGATGTTTGCTTCCATGGCTTCGGAATCTTTTTGGTCATAGGCGGATAATAATATTTGGGAACCACCCTTTCTCTACTTAGCTTTGTGCCAGTTGCCTGATCTCTCTCAGTTCGCCCTAGGTCCCAAGCAACAAAGTGGTGCTTGGACATTTCGGACACTTTTCATCCACCCAGTGGATCCAAGTGGCATTCTGTCCTCAGCAGCTTCCTCAATGGTCACAGTCATCACCGACCTCGTCATGCCCATGTTCTGGATGCCTCCCCGCACCATGGACACCCACACCACGGCCATGGTGCCCGTGGCCGTGGGACGCACCACGGTTACCACGGCCATCGGGGCCACAGCCACAGGCGCCACTGGGGCCGAAGTCACTCACCCCATGGCCATCGCCATGGTTTGGGCACGCGAAGTCCAAGAGGACATCGAGGACATCACTTGAGAGCCTTGGCGGCAGAGATGTTGAGTAGCTCGCACCAAATGGGCAGTTTCTTTGGATTTTGGTAAGGGCAGATCATTCTGGCAAAGCTTCATAAAACCCGGATTTGGAATGAAGCATATCGAATCTGCACATCGGAGAGTTTGGGTGAAATTGTCATTCCCATGCAGCAAGGTTACTTGACATGTTGTTGCTCCCAGCGATGGGCATTTCGCTGAGAAAATTTGTGGGTCACTGAGTCACTGGCCCTTGATCTTTGTAGCCCATGTTCACAACAGCAAGGAATGAAGCACGCAGCACCCGGTCATCATAGGGCTTGGCCTTCCCCATTGACCGAAGCCGGCTTTGTGGTCACTTGCCCTTATCTTCAGCGATTCTTTCTTGTGCTTGGGTTTCATTGATTTGGAGGCGCCTTCAATTTGGAGAAGATACCATGGAGGTTCTAATTTTGAATGACTTCAAACGGCGGATGTCATGGATTTTGGGGGGCTGTATCAGCCAACAACCACAAGAAATGTTTGGATGTAGAGAAAGATCTGCATGATTGGCCCTTGTTACCGGGGATGAAGTGTCATCGGCATGTCATCGTTTTTAGGTTTTATGAAAGTTTAATGGAATTTAATACCATTCAGAAACACAAATCTACCATTGTGTGACTAAAAACTATTAAAACACCGGTGACTTTCTCCCCTTATGTTTTGTCACCTCTCCGTATGCTGCCCGTGGTCCCAACTTGCCGATGCCGACTGAACCGGAATAGTAACCCCTCCGTCTAATCCCGTCATTCAATGTAATTCATATCCAAATCTTTATTGTCCCAGTTATATGGAATTTCCCTACATCCACCATGGCTAAAGGGGGGTTGAATATTAGGAAGAGATTATTATCATCTAGTGTTCATCCGTTATAGATATGTAGACCCAAACAATCCCCAACACATTACAGGTTCATTTTCATTCATTTGGCCTTCATGGTGCTCCAACTCAGGCAGCACGCCATCCGCGCCGGCACAGTGACCTTTCGAGTTTTGAGGAGGCCGCCAAGGAGAAGAAAATCGAGGAGAAGAAGGCGCAAGTTGCGCCTTGGCGGAAATGCCGAGGTTGATATCAGAGATATAGGTTGTTGATGGTTGTTACAACTTATAGGGTTTCAACCGCATCAACCGCAGATTTTCCGTCAGGATAGTTCATGAAAAAAAACATGACAAACACATGTTCCCAGTTTCCCGGTTCAGCGTTAAGGAGCTGAAGATCAAAGAGATCGACCGACAGATTGAGGAGCAGCGCTCCAGCGAGCGCGCCTTGGCGGAACAGGAGGAGGACCAGGAGAAGGACGCCCAACGTGCGGCCAACGTGGGGAAAATGGGTTCGGTGACTGGGGAAAAATTGGGAAAAACTTGGGAAATGGGGTGCAAACAATATGTGAAATATATGGGAAAATATGGACATGTTTTATACATGAACGTTGTTTACTGGGATACCCCCAGTTTCAAGGCTTCTTAATCCTAGCCCGTGAAGTCATTTGGGGGTGGGGCATGGCAAGTGTGCTCGCATCCAACATCCATACCTTCCTTCCAACTTCGAATCACTAGAATCTGATCCAAAGATATCCAAAGAGGAGAACATAGTTAACATAGTGAAGAGTTTTCTGACTTAGTTAAGTTATATAGTTTACTGATGGGAAACTCATTTCGTTTTCTCACTACGGTCGTTTTAACACTCCAAGCATGACTTGTGAAGCTGTGTGACGGATGATGAGCGAAGCGGAGGTTGGACCGCTGTGATCCCCTCAATTGTTTGGTGGTGAACCCACTTATGACTTTTAAATATAGTGTAATAGAGTATTTAGATGTTATTATATGTTAATATATAATACAGATGTATGTTGTATATCGTAGCATTGTTTTTCTATAATATCATGTATATATATGTGGGTTTATCGTATGCATATATACGTGCGTATGTATGTACGTACGTACGTACGTACGTATGTACGTAGGTATGTATGTATGTATGTATGTAATGTAATGTATGTATGTATGTATGTATGTATGTATGTATGTATGTATGTATGTATGTATGTGTGTGTTTATTGTATGCATTTATACGTATGTATGTATGTATGTATGTATGTATGTGTGTGTTTATTGTATGCATTTATACGTACGTATGTATGTATGCATGTATGTCATGTATGTATGTCATGTATGTATGTATGTATGTATGTATGTATGTATGTATGTGTATATGTGTATATGTATGTCATGTATGTCATGTATGTATGTATGTATGTATGTATGTATGTGTGTTTATTGTATGCATTTATACGTACGTATGTATGTATGTATGGATGGATGGATGGATGGATGGATGTATGTATGTATGTATGTATTGTTTTTTATCTATCTATTGATTGTGTATTTATTTTACTTATCTATTTGCATACAGGATCCCAACAAAGGAGGGGAGCCATCTTCTGTCGCGTCAGGAGATGGGAGATGATGCCATCCTTTCACCAGAACAAGAAGAGGCGGGGCTTAAGGCGCGCGAAATCTCGAAACAGGAATCCGCGGTGGTGGACAAGTCACAGCAGCTGGTGAATGAGCCTTGGATGAGAAGATATAGTGACTATATAGTGGTGGACTGCCGGTAGGTGCTAGCGGATAGATGCTGGGAAGCCAAGATGAAGAATGAATGTGGGGTGTTCACTGGGGGTATCCTTACTGTAAATTAAATCGTCCAAGAATAAACCACACTGTAAATCGTCCAAGAATAACCTACTTTTGTACACTTCTGTATTGACGCAGCCATGGTCTTGTGGATCATTTTAAGAAACACCCACGTGAAAGTCTGGATTTTCTCTTCCAGGCTGGTGTCGTTAGAATTTCGGCAGATTCTAACGACCTTTGTATGTGGATTCAACAACTCAAGAACCGGCCCCAAAATTGCAACAGGTTATATATTATATAATATTATAGGAAAAATTCGCCCTTAAGAAATCCCGGTTGATGATTAATATTGATTAGTAATCCCTTAATGAACCGTTGTTATTGGGGGATATAGCATGATATCCCATTAATATCCAAAAAAGCCCAAACCTCATTAATACCACATGCAGAAAGATAACTTAAGACTCATTGGAAAAGTTGCTTTGTCGCAAGGAAAAGCTGGAGCTGCTCAAAGAGTTGAAGAAGTTGGAAGACGCGGAAGCTGCAGGTTGCGGGAGCCTGTGTATTAGAAACCAGGGGAGTTGAAACATACATGGTCCGACATGACGATTTAATCAACAAAAATGGTGGTATAATAATAATGATGTATGTCTGTATGGAGCATATATTTGTTTAATTCTATATATATATATACATATTCATTCAGATTCAGAAGACATTTCCGGGGATGTGATGGGAATCAATGGAACCCTTTGATACCTTAACAGTTTCCAGACTGGAAGCCATCATGGTATGGGTCAAATTTGAAGACCCATGGGACCACAGGTTTTTGTCTAGTGTTAGTAACTACTCATCTAATAAAATATGTAGATATAGATGAATGCATTATGAATAGTATTATTGATTATATTATTCACTTAATACTATTGTATATCTCTAATAGAATGCTCATATACTATATCGTATATAGAAAGTATTCACTTATGATTCAATCTAATATATATAAGGACTAGTATTCACCATCTAACCTACTTTATCAGGTAACAATGGTTTCACATGATGCCCCGGCAGGTGAGGGTCTCTAGGTTGGAACAAAGCTCCTGTGGAGGGCTCCTGGGCCCGAACACGTGCCAAAGAGAATATCAGATAGACACCGTAGAATGTCGGATAGAATGCCGGACAGAATGTCAGAACAAATCTCAGATAAAATGCCAGAATAGATGACAGATAGAATGCCAGATAAAATGTCAGAACATATGCCAGATAGACTGCTAGATAAAATGCAAAAATAATATGTCAGGGTGGGGATCACTCGAAGCAAAGTAATTTTATTGATGATTTTGCCAGTTTTTTTGTTGGAAGCCAAGTAAACAGTTGTTGCCGCATTTGGATCCACGGGTGGGGTCAGCTACCAGCTATGCGAGGGAAAGCAGAGCCCGGTGACACAGTGGAGAGGGAGATTGTCGGCCCTGCTGGCGAGAAGGAAGTGGAGGCAGAGTTTACCCTCTTATTTGATGGGGAAAACACTGGGAACATTTGCATGATGTCCGCTGAAACTGACCAACTCATTGATTGCTGGTTTAGATTCCAATTTTCGCGGCTTCCAAATCTTGTTCTTGATGAGTAAGACCTATATGTAAGACTACCCAAAGATACCCGCTGGTGGAAATTGCTGAGTTGCGAGGTAGTGAAGGAAGAACCTGGAGGGCAAGAAGAGGCGCCGGCTGTGTTTGGAGGTGTCAAGTGTCAAACTCTCATAATGTGGTCATGGTAAACCCATGTAAACGCCATAAAGATCCATAAGCCATCCTCCAGTCACCATTTTGGGGTGGTAGAACCCAACCATCCCGGGTTGGTGTTGATGCTGCATCTTAGGGGCCCTCGCCAGGTTATGGAGGTCAAGGAAGAAACCCCCGAGGAAGCGGCGCAGATGGCCGACTCAGGGGGTGAGATCGTGGAACCACCCGTGCCCGCGCCTGCAGCCGCGCCTGCAGCCGCGCCGGCCACGCAGGAGGAGATGCCTGGCGGATGGGATGAGAGACACAGAAGAAGCG